GCCCGCAATAAGCTTTGCAAGTCTGTGAATTTTGTAAAAAAAGGAAATTGTTATACCTTATACAGTCAAAAATTATGTGATTGGCAGTATCTTTAACCTGACACACTGCACAGATATCGCTAACTTCTCTTTTAAATTTACTAATATATGTCTTACCAAAAGTATGCCCAGTAAGTAACCTATTCAGTAATTTAATATCATGAACCCCTAAATATACATGTTTCTTTTTGAACCATGGTTTAAACTCAATTCCACCCCCATTTTCAACAAATGTTTTCCTTTGATAATACTCAGTTCTTCAAATTCTCTTTTCCAATCAGCCCAGATTTTATTCGAAATTCTGGTTAAAGCCTCACTTGGTGTCAAATCTACATCTATTTCTAGCCCCCTATCCACAGCTGCTTTCGCTGCTTTATCCGCTTTTTCATTGTCAGTAATACCGATGTGACTCGGAACCCAAATAATTCTAACACATTCCAAATTCGATGAGCTAATCATATTATGAATTTCAGCAACAATATATGAGTCAGTATTCTACTTATCAAGCGAGTTAATCGCCATCAGACTATCAGTAAAAATTACACCTCTATTTACTTTAAGTCTAATTAGGATTTTAATGGCTTGTCTCCCCAAATGTTGAAGAGAAAGTATCCTTAAACCTATACAAATATTATATATTTTGATCAATGTCATGAACAGCGGCCCCAACTACTTCCTGTGTTACTGAGGCATCAGTTGCAAGTAAGTAAAAGCCCTCCTTATATAATTCATCTTTAATTACAAGATAATCTGTTCTTAATTGTTCCGTGGTGACGTTTACCTTGGATGTACCCAGCCTTGACTTTATGAGTGAGAGCCCATGAAATCTTGTAAAAACCGTGTTGAAATTTATTTTAGTAAAAATGTCAACAAATTTATTGTATGCAAAACTATAACTCGATTTATTTCCACCATTGTTCTGCAACTCATTTCTAATGTTTTCATTGTTCATCCATTGTCTGATTAACTCTTTTGTAGTTAACCATAACGCCCTTTTAAGAGGGGGGTAATTCACCAGCTAAAGCATATCTAACATGAACCGGTGTGCTTGGAGGAACCCCAAGACTCCTTCTTAGAGCATCATTTAAAGATGTTTGCAATTTTTTGTTCACGCGAAAGTCGAGCAAGCATACTCAGCCTTCGACCTAATGAATGATTTATAAAAGTTTAAAGCAATTTTCGGCTCTAAACCCGCCTTAATACTCGTTAGCTTTTTCAAGGCATTATTAGCTGGAAGAACTTCTCTTTTTATTAACTCTACATGATCATTTATGGTAGCGTTAGCACTAACTATTCTGCCTAACCACTTCATTTTAAACACTTGCTCAACCTGCTGTCTATTCACATCTAGACTAAACTGTCTTTTCCTATTGTTGTTTAAAAGCATGAACTTTGTCTTATTTATATTTATCCTAAGATTAAGGGAACTGCATAAATTAATAAAACGAGTGATAGAGCTTTTGAGGTTATCTAAGGCTACCTCTTCATTGCGACTAAAGCTAATTATGGCAAAATCATCAGCAAATTGGAATATCTTAACACTTTCATCCTCAACTAAGTGGAGGCCTGCTGTATAGACATTGAATAAAACCGGGGACAAACAGCTGCCTTGCGGAACGTCATTGTGCACCTGCACCTGCTTGTCTCCTAATTTTAGCACTCTATTTGAAAAAAAAATTAAAAATCCACTCAACAGTCTTTGCTTCACAACCACCCTCATACATTATTTGCCTTAGTTTATTCAAGTTTACACAATTATATGCATCCTCCGAATCTAAAATGCAGACAAAAGCTCTTTTCTTTTCCATTTTAATTTTATTAGTGAAAAATAAAAATTCATTTAAACACATAACTGCAGATCTGCCCTTTCTATATGCATAACATTTGGACGGTAAAATATTCTTTTTTTCCACCCAACTGACTATCTTATCCTTTAAAAGCATGTTCAAGCATTTCACTGTGACTGATAAGAGCGAAATAGGCCGAAAATTTTTTAACTCACTGAGATCGCGATAGGTTTCGGAATTGGTACTATTTTTATTATCCTCCATTCATCTTTTATAATATTCCTATTAAAATGAAACTCTAGCTCCTTTAATAGTTTTATGGCCTTATTCATAAAAAATAAAGTAGGTTTAAAGAGCTTTATAAAATGACGTTTTCATACATTTTTCAGTTTATAAACCTTTTTTAAAGCTACTTTATTTTTTATGAATAAGGCCATTAATCTACAACTATCTGATAAACATTTTATCATTTCAAAGGTTATTCTGTCATGTCCACCAGCTGTACTCTTTTTCCTCTTTAACATGTGATTGAACTCCTCAAAAGAGAAGTTAGTCCACTGACTGACACCCTGACTGACGAGACACCTGTCCTCTGTAAGACTATTCTCTAAATTTGACACTTGTAATTTCAACATCTCCAGATATCTGTCGTTATCCTCACTAATCCATGCCAGCTCTTTATATTTTTTCCCTCTTACATTATTAACAAAGTTCCACGCTTCTTTTGTATTGGCATTTCTATTTAGTTCTTCAATCCTGAGTTTATAGCTATCATTCTTGGCTTTTTTAACAGACTCTATCCATATCTTCTTAGGATCAAGTGCTCGCTCCATATCTACCACCATAACTTGGCTTTTTTCCTTGCTGCATGAAGAATTCTATACTCTCTTTATTCCACCAATACTTGGGTGAGAACCTCGTACTATTTAAGTCAACTATCGAGTTCTTTATTGCTTTTTTAATATCAAGTTCCAATACACCAACACCTTTTTCGCAGTTAAGTTCAGCTAAACATTTACCAAATTTTTTTTTTGAAACAAACAAATTAGGAGATCTAGCTAACCCGCTTATAGTAACAATGATAGGGTGGTGATGGCTACCACCCACAAAACCATGATTGCATTCCCAGAAAGTATCAAACCCAGAATAGTATGAATTTCAAACGTACTTGACCCATCATTTAAACATCTGAGAAAAGTTTTATTTATTTCATTTTTCAATATTTTTCCTTTATAGTTTTCAATTCTGTCCCCCCATAGTCTTGTCTTAGCATTAAAGTCGCCCAGTAACATAACATTACTAAAGCCTGCAAGTACGCCCAGAAGTCTAACAATTTCAAGCTCAAATGAGCAGAGCTTATGTTTGGAGGAAAATATACCGATCAGATTGTTAAATTGTCTACCAAATTTAGTGTTTTAGTTATTAAAATATCAAATCTTGTGTTAAACCCGACTCTCTCCATTTTAATATTTTTCCTACTTGCTATAGCTACTCCGCCATAACCATCGTTCCTAATCTTTTTAATAATATTAAACCCTATTAACTTGTGATCATTTTTGTGATCACCATGCGAAAAAATTTCTTGTAAAACTACAATGTCAATATCATGCTTGTGAGTAAAAAAGTCTATATAGTTTTTGTTAGTCTTAAGACTCTGACAGTTCAACTGAAGTATTTTTATTCTGTTCATTAATTAACGTATGAGATAAGATAAGTCTATCATTTACACTGATTTTACATAAATTACCCAGCAACTTTACAATGGGATCTTCAGCATTGATATCGAATTTTTTAACTAATTCAGATACCAATCTCTCAACCTCTGAAACCCTTTGCCATTTATCACTATTATAAACAGGTACTATTACTTCTTTATCCTTATTCTGCGTTTTCGTCTTGATAGCTTCAACTTTTTGGATACTTCCTTGTTTAGTTACAAGGTTATACTTCTGCGCTGTCAGTCTTCTGTTAACTAAGGCTTTCCTTTGTGACATGCGTGTCTCTTGACATTGTTGGAAAACCATACCGCACAATTTTTCTGTAGTTGTAGCCCGTAGCGCAGAAATCTGCGGAATTTAGATTTTTCCGTGTCAGCAGATTTCTTCTTCTTTAGATGGTTGCCACTTCGTCAGTTTTACAGATGGTAAAAAGTTATAAGTTCCTATTCAAAATATGTTTAAAATATTTGAAATTTACTATTGAATAAGGTTTTTGTTGAAAACTAAGTAGTTTATATTTAGCTAAAATCTATTATAGCACGAAAAATTGTAGTTGATAGGGTAAGTTTATGAAAAGGCATTGATGAGTGGCAACAGTGTAGTAAGCAACACTGAGGGCTCCAGTAATCGACAAAATTCTGCGTATACAGACTGCGTTTAAGGTCGGTGTTATGCAGACAAATTTTGTTTGCCAAATTAAATGGCGGCTGCTTAGTTTGCTCGGAGGTGGTTATGTCGAGTTTGGCACAGGGTTGCACGTTCATTATGGTTTTCATGGCTATTGCCAACACGAAAAGAGAATTTTGTGTATAGCAACAATTGTCTAAAATTTTTGTAGATGACAACGCCGAATTTGCTGCAGTTTGACCAAACAAAATTAGTTTGCTGTGAGAGTCGCCAAACTCGCTCTCTCCGAGTTTGCTGCAACAACAATTGCACGCAGTTTGCCAAACAAAAGTTCTGCATAACACCGACCTAAGTATACGTTCTGCGTTCTCGACTAATTTCAGCTTCAATCGTGGCTGATTGTCTACTGAAAAATGATGCCAGACCACAAAATTCGTTAATGTAGTGATAAATCAAAGCAAATGATTGCATGCCAAAAATACTGAGCAAAATGTCCTGAGGTATTTGTAGAAAACCATGGTAAACCATGGGAAATGATTGCATGCCAAAAATACTGAGCAAAATGTCCAAAAAGGTATTTGTAGAAAACCATGTTTTTATCATGTAGAAAACGCAGATGAGTATATTTTTTCTTTATTTATTGTGAGAAATGACTCGTATTCATTGAATTACTCAAACCTAATGAAGAAGTATCCCTTTGCGTAGCCATCGCCGTCCGCTGATAACGAGCAATATGATCCAAAGAATGCGGGAGAATTGGCCTTACAGTGTGAATTTCCAAAAGTGTCAAATTATCCAACTTTGCATATGTGCCTTCACCCTTGATGAATGCGTCAATTGAAGTGCGCAATTTAGATTCACGTATATCAAATATATCTTTGATAATCGTTCGTAGCTCTTCACATTGCGGCACATCGTCAGGTGCAGTACTCATGATCAGCTGCGTTTCGACCATGTAATGTTCGCTGGGCATTTTTGTGAAGAACCTAAGGAATAAAGAAAGTGGTATATGAACATTCCACTTGGACATTAGTTATCTAATTCTTACTTTGATTTTTTCTCTGCCTCCTTGATTTCTTCCAACAGCTCCATGTCCATCCATTCGGGTGGCACAATGCGGCACTTCTGTTGTTTACGTAGATGTATACCAAGCCAAAGCGGCACATGGACTGGGAGACCGGCGCGGAATGGTCCAACACTGCCCAATATCAAATGCAAAGGATCGAATAAAAAGTTTGGTACAATGCCAATGGTGGACTTCTCCCCAATAAATTCAATAACACAAGGCTCCATTGCTGTTTAAATTATTTACTTTTCGCTATGATACGCAGCTGATTTGTTCATGTTTTGCCGCCAAATTTATAAACAAAAAAATACAGGGTGTAAAAATCAGAATAGAGGGAAGAAAGTGTTCGGAAGGATATTTTAATTGCACGCAGGGTTGCCACTCCGATAAATTATTACCAAAATTGGTAGAATAATTTGCGTGCTTTATTTTGATAGACATTTCGTCGTCTCAGAAAACGGATGTCGAATGTTACAAAACACGGTTTTGAGAAAATTGACTTTGAAGTTTAAGGTCGAATTAATCCGAAACTGTACGGTAGATTTTTGTAACTTTTGAAGGAGACGTAGTTGGTGTTATTAGTTTTGATTTCCCATATTTTTACATTTAATATCTCTTAACGTTAATGAGAAAATTTACTTTTCATTCCGTATACATTTGTCGTAAGTAGCGTTTACTCACCACTTTGTTTTGTCCACAGAACATACGACAATAGTAAAGTATCTATTTCAACGACGATGGTATAATTTGATGAAAAAAACAGACATATTTATTAAATAATGATTACTTATTAGAAAAAACATAACAAAAACATAATCATGTATTTAATAAAAAAAATCTGTACATCTCTTAAGCGAAGCGCACATTGGCGCGATTCTGTCGTTGCGAATCCGCAAGCCCAAAAATTACAACAATGCTACCCATTGGGCACGCCGAGTGCGAAAATACACGAAATAAAGGGAAAATTGAGTGAATTGTACATCGGAAATCGACGCGAAAAAATCGCTCAAGTGTGCGCACGTTTGCGGATTCGAAGTTAACAGCCGAATTCGCAACGTATTCGCAACGATGGAATCGCGCTAATGTGCGCTTCGCTTTATGCTGTAAATATGTTACGAACATACGTTTTCTTTATATAAAAACAAAAAACAATACTTAAATTCAGTCTTTTGTACATTTTTATCTCTTTCATTTCATTGGAGACTCAGTGCAAGCTAAAATTTAAAAATTTTAAAATTAGTTACTTAGTTTAATTTTCAATTTTAATTGTATCGTTATAGTAGAGGACCATTCAATTGTCGTAAGTTCAAAGTTTTGCGATACATACGACAAATGTTTTATGATTAAAAAAGGATTACATTTGTATGGGAATTTGTCGTATGTGCCACATACGACAAACGTTTTATGATTAAAAAAAAAGGTACGTTTGTATGGGAATTTGTCGTATGTGACGCATTTTCAGCACATACAACAAAATGCATACCCAATCATTAATATTATGTAACATACGACAAAATGCGCACGAAATATCTCAAAAACTAATGGAGATATAAAAAAAATGGATTGCAGAAATCGAAAGAGCATGTCCAACTTAGTAAATCTGCATCAAAATCCCAAAATCGTGATTTTGCACATTCGTCATCCGTTTTCTGAGGCGACGATTTGTTAAATATCGTTTGAAGCAAAAACAATTTTCTTCCCGCTTTATTTTTCATAGTTATCTTTATATTATAAATTTATTTCCAAAAGTGTAGTCTTCTCTATTGCATTAATTTTCTAAAGCTTTAGTGTAAACTTTTTATAGACATACAGGCTGCATTTCTTTATTCATTCTGAACGTTTGGAATAAGCTTTTTTGTTTATTTATTCTTTAGAACGTTCCTGATGATATGTTGACGTATATTTCAAACGCATTCTGTTTATTCCGGCTGTGGAATGGGATTATCTGGAATGTATAAAGAAACGCAGCCACAATATACGAATGTCTTCTCAGAATCAGGGCACAAAATAGATGTAGTATTTAACCAGATCACGCGCTTTGTGTTTGGGCTAGCAAAATATGAGCATATTTCCGCTTGGGGAACGCTTCTACTTGGCTGCGAAATTTTTAAATATCTTAAAGCTAGAAATTGTATATTCCTTTTTCGTCTCATGACGAAGGCACCCAAATTTCTATATGAAAAACCAACGCTCCCCAAATCAACTCGAGTAAAGAACTTGACTGTTCCTACCTACAATTATCTCAGCTCTGCACGGCTATTATTTGTCAATGCTATCCGGAACTCTGGAACTCTATCCCATCTCATATTCGCAGTAGTTTAAAACATGATAAAAACATAGCAAGGTAGAACCGTTCTCTCAATTTGTCGGCCATGATTTTTTTTTGAAGTTTGCCAACATTTCAAAATCATATAAAAGTGAAAATAAAAAATTGAAATTGTTCGAAATTGTTGTTGCTTGAGATTGAAAATGAAAATGTGTGTGAGTTTGTGAGTAAATTCAAAAATTAAATTGTTTGGAAACGTCAAGAATTTCAAAAGTGACTCAGCGGTTCTACCTTACTATATTTTTATCATGGTTTAAACTAGTGTTGGGAAGTATCGAGTACTTTTGAGGATCGAGTTCTCTGGTATCGATACTTTTAAGGATCGGGTATTTTGGAGAGTATTGAGTACTTTCATTTTCGTTGTTGGTGTTTCCGGCAGGGTAGGAGTGTGATGTAATTTGGAACGATGCAAATTGGTTTTGATGCAAACCGGTTTCGGCGTTCTGCCATCTTCAGTGTCATTTCGTTTTGAATAGTTTCTGTTTGTCCGTCACTATTTACGCCGTGCTAAATCGGTTCTTAGTTAGGTACGTCTCAGCGGATTATATTCTTTCGTTCAACCAGTGGTTTTTGTTCTGTGCATACATGCTCAGGTAGAAATCAGCTGCTCACTTTTTCTTTATTAATTGTTGCATGGATTCGCAGGTAGGTAAAAATCAGTTTTTTTTTCTTTCAATACTTAGTGTAAAAATCTCACAAACTGGCAGTATTTTATTTAAATTAATATATGAATCCCAAATTACGCCAAATGGCTAACTGTACTGGGTACAAGTATTGTACTTGAAAATTATTGAAACTGCAAATTGAGTACAATCATATCTGAATACCGTTAAATGTGAATAAAACTCTTAAGTCTATTCGACACTTAATACTGGTACTTTGAATCGATCCTGAGTACATGTATTAAAGCGATTATTGGAACAGATTACTTTTTAGTACTGAGTACTTTCGAGTTCTTTGAAGTTATGAGTGCTTTCGAAGTATTTTCGAGTCTTTTGGAGTACTCAGTATCGATACTTTTAAAAATCCGGTGCTGTCGATCCTTTTGAGAATCGAGTTCTGAGTACTTTTGATATCGATACTGCCCAACACTAGTTTAAACAAAAGCAACTGTAAAAATGTTCTGTTAGCGTTAGCTTCACTTCAGTCCTTGAGAAGTGCTCTCTATGTACTCGTTTAATTAAGTCTTATTTTATGTGTATGTCCTGGAATCGGAGAACTTACTTAAAAATACTGTTTTCTTTGTTACTTATCTAATGTTACTTTTATTTAGTCTTAAATAATTTTTGCTGTTTAAATTATACATATGTATGTTATGAATATTTTGTTGCGCTATAAAAGATCTTTCTTCTGATCTTATTGTGCTAATGAATTGATTAATAAATGAAATGAAAAATACATACATTTAGGCCAAGAATGATAGAATACAAGATTGCGCCGATCAGAGAGGATTTTTGAGAATAACTTTTGTGTGACGTCACACTGGTGCAATTGCGAGAGAGAAATGCCAAAACGTGAGCAAGAATGGAAGAAGAAAAAATGTTGCAAGGAAAACGTAAACAAGTTGCACAAGTGTGACGTCATGCAAACAAAGATTCTGTCAAATTCGTTAAGAGAGGAATAGCGGTCCGAGATCGGCGCAACCTTTGTATTCGCTCAATCGTGCATTTAGGCATTACTAAATTAAATTAAATTAAATATGTAAGTATGTATATCGATAGAAGGCAAACATATCGTGCTCCATTCAAAACAAATATTACTGGAATCTTTAGGAGGTTTTGATTGTCTAAACCTTTTTGAATATTTCTTTAAATAAAAAGAAAAAATGGACAGGTTTGCATTTACACACAGACAGTGTTGCCAGAACTTTTTGGACGAACCGGCTAAATTGGCAAATATAACCGGCTAAAAACGGCTAAAATGTTTCAACTAAATTTCACATGTTTTATTTAAATAAATCACGAGTAAAAACACTATTTCTTGGAGCGAAGTTACAAATTCGAGCCGGAAAAAAATTTGCCAGCAAGAATTTGCATTATTGTGGCACATGGTACGATTTTTTGTCGACGATAATTTGGATAAACAAGTTCGTTAAATTTAAAAATTTTCAAACTGGAGCGATTTGAAAATGAAAAATGTAAGTTAATACTTGTTTACTTAATTAATTTAGTTAATTCCAATGATTTGAAAGGTACTCGGCAAAAACTACTGTATTCTTAATCGGAATGCAATCTCAACCAGAGTCGATATAGTAAACCCGACAAAGAAATTGAAACGTATGTTGAAGAAAGTCGGACTGACAAGATATTTACACGTATATCCTGTTTTTTGTCCCTCTGAAAGAATTTTAAAAATTCGATGCAAATTTCTTTTGTTTGAAATGCAACCGTGGACACTAGCTGGCAGAAAAACTTGTAAATTTTGCGTTCGTACAGAAAATTGCAAGTTTTCTTACTATCTGATATTTTGAGTGACAATTCTCGCTGGATTTTCGACGAACAAACCTATTGTCTTCCCTACAAGGCCTTCTCAGACTGACCGATCCTCAATACACTCAAATAGAAACCAAAACACATAAAAAACGCTGTAAAAATTTCCCTTCAATTTTAAGGCAGTAAACAACGATCTTAAGTTAACCGAGTTAAATCAACCGAGGCCATATGTTGACAAGGGATGCAAAATCACAGTTACACAAAAGAACTGGAAAGATTTTTCAGAAATCCCGTCAATTCTGATGTAAAATATGATGCCAAAAGACTGCAGATATCCCACTTAGATGACCGGCAGATGTCTCGTAGGATTCCCAGAGAGTTATGCTTTACATAGAAATTTGTGCTCTTTTATTTTCATTTTGACTCACTTCAGTGTTGGTTCCTTTAATTCAAGTTGGCATTCGGTTTTTGGAATTTAAATAAGTTCTCAGCAAAAAACTTTGTTTAAAAAAATACATATGTGTATTAGAGGTATACGCCGCCGAGCCACGCCGCCGCCGCCGCCGTTTTTTGTCATTCCTCACGCGCCGCCGCCGAGTTACGAAAATACCGGCGCGGCGGCGGCGGCGGCGGCGTTCGGCGCCTAAGGAATTTTGTACAAAATTTTCATTATGTATGTACATTGAATACATCGTTTGAAGGAACTAAATACTACTTGTATAAAAACACAATTTTACGAAATGAAAATTACATTTTTAAATTAGTTTTTTTGCATAATTTGGGTCATTAGACAAGAATATGTTCTTCTTTGTTTTTCCAAAAAGAGCGTAACCCAGAAAAAACATAGGTAACATATTTTTCGACGAAAGCGTTTATTACATTTAAATTAGGGTCGAATACTGGTAATCTAACGATTTTTTTCGGCAGTAGACAATTCTTTTCAATACTACAACAATACTACTTTTTATACACCTACTACACAACAAGAAAGTTATAACACAACAAAAACTTTAACGCCAATCTCTCAGAAAGAAGTTTTAATAGAAGCGGCCTCTTTGCATCTAACTCCCCAATTAGTGGAGATATAATAAGGACAAGTTGATTTTTTTATGTATTTTTATACCTTTCATGAGCATGAAATGGTATTATAACTTTGGTCCGATGTTTGTAAGTACCAGAATAAAAAGAGATAGACCCATTAAAATGTATACTTATATGATCAGAACGTCGAGCTGAGTCGATTTAGCCATGTCCGTCTGTCCGTCTGTCTGTCTGTTCGTCTGTTTGTATGCAATCTAGTCTCTTAGTTTTCGAGATATGCGGAATGTATTAATCATTTGTCGGAACCGGAAGAATCGGACCACTATAACATATAGCTCCCATACAACTGATTGTTCAGATATGATATTTTTCGTTATAACTTCTCCATTTATGCGGCTAGGAAAATGAAATTTTGCATTACTTGCACCCATTATCAACAGAATACTTACAGTGAAAATTACAAAGATCGGGTCACTATAACCTATAGCTCCCATACAACTGATTGTTCAGATATAAAATTTTTCGTTATAACTCCTCCATTTATATAGCTAGGAACATGAAACTCCGCACTGTTTTCACTAATTATCAACAGAAAACTTACAGTGAAAATTAAAAAGATGGGGTAACTATAACCTATAGCTCCCATACAAGTGTTTGTTCAGATATGAGATTTTTCGTTATAACTCCTCCATTTATATAGCTAGGACCATGAAATTTTGCGCTATTTCCACTCATTATCAACAGAGAAAATAACAAAGATCGGGTAACTATAACCTGCAGCCCCCATACAACTGATTGTTCAGATATGAAGTCTTTTATCATAACTCCTCCATTTATGCAGCTAGGAACATGAAATTTCGCACCATTTTCACTCATTATTAACAGAATACTTACAGTGAAAATAACAAGGATCGGGTGACTATAACATATATGTATCTTCCATACATCTGATTGTTCAGATATGGGATTTTACTGTAAAACTCCTTTATTTGAACAGCTAAAACCGATAAATTTCGTAAGATATTTTATAAATAATAATACAAAGTCTACTGAGAAAATCGTCAAAATCTATGCTGTATAAGCTTTATCTCCTATACCACTGATTGTTCAGATACCAGTTTTTGCGATATATCTTCTTTATGTAGGAAACTAAACCCAATAAATTGTGTTACCGGTTTACATACCGATCACATAGCAGTGAAAATCACTTAGATTGGTGCTAATATAAGGTATATCTTCAATACCTCTGATTGTTCAGATGCGATTTTTTATATAGGTATGTAACTCCTCTATCGATGTATGCAGATGTATTCAAAGCAGTAATCTGTCAAAGTAAAATTTGTAGATGTTCATGAAAGGTATGAAGCCTTCGGCATAGCCGAAGACAGCGCTGCTCTTACTTGTTTTTCATTACATTCGGTTCTCGTTAGAAAAATTTGGCGCTTCATATTTTAGTGGAAATGTTAACCATCTATAAGCCATTTTTTCCAACAGTGGGTCAAAAAGGCCCATTCTGGTTCGAGTTGATGGGTTAAACTTTTGGAAAAAAAGTAGACAAACCTTGTTTTCAATATGTAATCCGCAAAAAATCGTAGGAACTCCGTAATTTAATATAACGGTTGATAAGATTATTGCAAAAATTTATTGAGAGCGACATAAATTACCCCAACAACTAAACTTTTAACATTTTTTTATTTCTTTAAATTTCAATAGCATAAACGGATCTGTAGAGAACATAGAGATCCGTGTGATTATGTATGTATATACCTCAGACCTTCTTCTGTTCGCCCATCAATCAGCGCCAGACACTCAACATTTTAATTCAAGTAGGAAGTAACAATATTTAAATTTAAAACTAATTCAATAAAGAAATAAATAGAATTATAATAACAGAATAATTGGCATCGCGAATGCCTAACGCTGACGAGTTGAAATGATAAGATTAGTAGCCTCATGGCTCTTTGAAATCTACCTTATGAGCAATAGCGCCGGCGTTTCCAAACGCGCCGGCGTCGCCGCCGCCGCCGAATATTTTTGAAGTTGACCACGCCGCCGCCGCAAAGCCTGTCGGCGTAAACCTCTAATGTGTATATAGTGCTTGAAAATATCAAATTTTCCCTTACCTTAAACCTTTGGGAGTGGCAAAAATTATGTTTTTGTAATGTAGGCACTATATACAAACACAAACGCATCTTAAGTGTCTTAATAGTGAAACAATTTCTTATTTTCTAAGTTTGCGAATAAAACTTCACACTTAAAATTAAGACATTTATAACAAACATTTTATGAAGAAAATCTCTTCTTCGTTTAAAATAAAAATAAGCGAAATCGGCCCAATTTCATACAACCCTGCCTGACATGAAAATTTTCTCCACGATAAGACTAATAGCCATTTCTAACAGATTTTGGGTCGCTTAGTCAAAAATGGAAACATATGTATATACATATTTGAAATTTAAGAAAACAAAGCAAATAGCAAAATCGGCTAAAAACGGCCAATTTTTTTCTACAAAACGGCTAACAAATCGGCTGCCGACTAAATCGAAATTTCTCCGGCTGTTTGCTATCGCAACCGGCAAAATCTAGCCGGAAAACGGCTAAAATGGCAACGCTGCACACAGATTAAAAAAATAAATAAAAAATCACCGCCAGTTTTTATAAATGGCAATTGTTAAATGAAAAAAAAACAAAAGACCGGCGGCAAATATAAATAAATAAATAAATACATATATTTTTTAACCAATGGGAATGTTTAGCTGCACATTGTTGGTTATACTAAAATTCCATGGGCTAGAAAACTGCATAAATGGTTCTAAAAATTCAGAGCTCTAAATAACTTGTTTCAAATGTAAATAGCTTGCAAAGCGCAAACAATATTCTTATACAAATAAAAATTGCAAAAAATGTTTACCCTTTTGAGTCACTGTATTAGCTTATAATAACTCCAATTGAAGTTTCTTTAATAATGAAGTTTCATTGTTGGCTTTAATTTCATCACTTTCGCTTTTGGTTTAAGAAAACCGAGAAGATGCCATTAATATGATCTCAAATCTCATTAGTTAAATAAAAAGTTCCTTAATAAACAATTTTAAAATTTATTGAAATAAATAAAACAAATCCAAGCTAGAGTTTTTATTAAAATAACTAAAAAAAAGTTATTGGAAGATATTTTCCAGATTTGGTAATTTTTTCCAATTGGTGGGTAAATATTTTTTTTCGTCAGTGGCAACCCTGATTTCAATGTAAATTGGAATTGAAATGTAGTACTTTTTTACGACGATATTGAAAATCCCTACTTTTTACGTTAACGCAATGTTAAACATCTTGTGGCTTCCATTATTTGTCGTTTTATTTTGATAATAAATAGATTTTTTGGTAATTCTCTAGGGTGGGGTAACAACCCCTAAGAAAGGTGCGGAAAAGTCGGGAGGGGTACCAAATGACGCGTTTCGGCCCCCCTAATAACAATCCGGAGGGGCGGAGATAATATTATTAACCATTTAAAAGTTATGAACAAAAAACTTTTGTTAAATTTCGTTGTTTTCTATGGGCAATTACACCGACAAAGATTCACTAAATCACCTGTTATCACCTTTTAAAAAAAGTACACGTTTGGTTTGAATAAAAGTTTTCAAGTGAGAAAAAATATGACAATATTCTAAAATTACAAATACAGAGATTGCTTGGATTGTTTAAATAAAACAAAACTCAACACCCCTTCTCAATCTCTCAACCCTAATTTGTTACTAAGCATCTTAAATCGAGTTGCATCTAAAGCCTTGGTAAATATATCTGCAAGTTGATCTTCTGTGTTGATTGGTGTCAATTTGATTATACCCTTTGCAATATTATCTCTTATGAAGTGATGTTTTATATCAATATGTTTTGCTCTTTTTGATTCCAAAGTATTTGCCATTCCAATGCAACCTCTATTATCTTCGAATATTTAAACTGGACGGTTATCTATTTCATTAAGGTCTCTTAGCAATCCATATAACCAAACCGCTTCTGCAGTTGCTGCGCTTAAAGCAACGTATTCCGATTTACTCGATGATAATGCAACAGTTACTTGTTTTTTTGCTTGACCATGATACCGTACAACCATAAACCTGAAAAATGAATCCACTAACTGATTGCTCGTATCTAGTTATCACATTTTCATCATCGCCTTCTGGATCTTGATTGTTTGTACGCACTATATTTAATTCTTCAATTCTCGAGTTTGATTCCTGCTTAAAAGGAAAGCAGTCTTCATCAAATTTGACGTCTCTTGCAATGAAAATTCTTTGGTTATTTTGATCCCACAATCTATATCCATTTTGAACATAACCAATCATAATCGACTTTCGACTCTTCGAATCCATTTTCTTCCTTTGTTGGCTTGGTATCCACGCATATTCTTTGCATCCAAATATTCTTAGTTTGCTAACGTCAGGCTTGACTCCGTACCACATCTCTGCCGGAGTAACCGAACCTTTCAAGGATATAGTTGGGCTTCGGTTTATTAAATAAACCCCAGTGTAAACCGCTTCACACCACATTCGTTTTGGTGCATTGGCTTCAAACAGCATAGACCTTACTTTCTCGACTAAAGTCCTATTGAATCGCTCTGCGACTCCATTTTGCTGAGGCGAGTAAGCAACAGTTGCTTCCATCTGGATCCCCTTCTGCTTATACCACTCATCTTGTTGTTTAGAGCAATATTCGCGTCCTTGATCAACCGTTATTTTTGAAATTAAAACTCCAAACTTTGCTGTAACAATTGCTTCATACTCTTTCATTACTTTGAATACATCAGACTTGTACTTAATAGCGTAGACAAATGCAAAATGCGTGTAATCATCAATGAATGACACGAAATACCTTGAACCATTCCATGCCACGGGATCAATTGGCCCACAAACATCCGAATGAATTCTTTCAAGTGGCCTTTTTGCTCGTTCACGATGTCCATTAAAAGGATCACGACAGTGTTTAGCTTCAACACACACATCACAAAATTTCATTTTATTTGTTCTTACAGGCAAGCCATTTACAAGATCTTTATTCACCAATTCATCAAAAGCTTTGGCCCCTATTGCGAGTGTCGACTGGCAGTAGAATAGAAATTTGTCGATCGAGTCGATCATCTTTTATTTTGCTATTGTGTAACTTGATCGATAAAAATTTGTACTATTGTGAATGGTTGACAGAATTGCAAACAGCTGTTTGTTTGTTTACATTTGTTTCTTGAGTGTTTTATTTACATCATTTTTAAAATAATTGCTTTTATTATAAAATTTAAAAAATGGACACAGTTGAAATATGGTTTAGTGATGAGGAAGATGATGCGGAAGCTAATAGATTAGTAGAGTTAGCTAAAGCAAGGAGGGAATTGCGAGATTCGTCGGATCCCTTCGACTTTGAAGGTGTATGTACACGTGTGAGTTTTATGAATAGAAGTTGCGTTCCCGATGCTTCACAGTTTTTAGGCTTTACATGATTTGCAGGAAAAGCTGTTTTCCTCATTAATAAACTTTATGGAAGTTTAAGAAATACGGTACGGTTAAGTTTTTTGTACAATGATGTTGGGTTTTTGTGTCCAAACGCGTGACCCGAGTTTAAAAATTGTAACATAACAACATAACAAGTGTATTGAAAGAACTCAACTTTAATTTAAAATAAAGATTTCAAATTTCCGAGCACTAGTCAATTAATAACTTATGCAGTTTTTTTGTATAAACTTTTGATGTTGGTTCTGCGCAAAAACACTGGATGGCGTAGCCGGAGTTATATGCACAAGAAATATTGTATATGTATCTTTCCCAATAGAAGCGGAGCTTCCTACCCTATTCTTTCCGGAAATTCCTTTGCCTATGTCTTCACTCTCCTGCATCAGTACGAACAACCGCGCAAGTTGCCTTTTGTTGCTTATAATTTTTGATCTGTAATTCAGACACATACATGCATATGTATATTTCACAATTTTTTACAACTTCCAGTTCAATTGACTTACTTTTTATCCATTATAGTACCACTTTCTTATGTAAATTTTATAAACGCAAACTCCAACGACTAAAAAACAGCAATAGAAGAATGAGCGATTAAGAAGTATTCACAGTCGCTAATTGAGCGACTAAGCGACACTCGCAATAGCATCGCTAATCGATAGTCGCTTAATAGTCGTTTATCTACTGCCAGTCGACATTCGCAATAGGGGTGTTTTTGTCCAATATGCCCAAAACGCTTATGCCACAAGTCGACTTTGTCTTCATTGCACATGTATGTAAAATAACACTCATTTTCTACTTCGATTTCATAAAGCCCATTGCACAAGTATGCAGTTGCTAACAGCTCTCCATTTTTTATTACATTTGCCTTATTTTTGTTGAAAATCACATCAATCCCTGCATTAGTAAGCTTTCGCACTGATAGCAAATTATATTTCGATCGGAAAACTCTGGTTCTCTTCAAAAGACTTCCAATATTAATATCCAATTGTTTAATAACCACTTTTTAATTCTAAAGATTTTTTATTGGTCCCCCATTGCATTTTCTGGGGGTTTTGGCGGACCTTTAAAATATAGTTACCTGAAAAATGGTTAAATAAAAAATTGGGCATTATTATTGGGAATCTGAAGAGAAACAAAGTTTTCCGTCCGAAAAATATTGATTTGCAAGAATTGTATACCATTTCTACGAAGAGTTGTTTTTTCCCTCATACTCTCTAAATATCTTTTGATTTCGAAATAAAAAGATAGGGGTATATCTTTTTTCGTATAGAACAATCCTAGGGGTGGCGGCATTAAAATTTCGACTACTTTTTCACATGCATTTTTTGACCACCCTAATATGTATGCATGTGCACTATTTTTCAATATTTTATATATGAATGTATGAATGCATATATTATTTATATAGTTTCAGTGCGCGGATCCAGCTTGTGAATAGCCTGGATAAGTGTAGGACAATTTTTTAGCGGCTTTTGATCAAAACCCCGCTGCCACCTAAAAAATAAATTTTTTAATAACTTAATTTAGAAGAACTGGAAATGTTTCGTCTACTCACCAAAGATGTGTGCATGTGTGTAGTAATGGAATATATAATTGTAGGAGATCAATGTCACACAATGTATCGTAACGGCTCAGCGCCAACGTTGCCCAGCGTTCGGCCGAATGATGCGGCACCGGTGACATGGTGCAGGCAGCAACAAGACGACACAAAATTAATAGGACAGCCCGGGAACGATCCATGAAAATTTTATTTAGTAACCGAAAACAATTCTCTAGCAATGGAATAGCCATTTCGTTGCGACGCTCGTCCAAGAGTTGACATGCCTTGGCTAGTTCGTGATCTTGAAGAAAGTGTAAAAACGCAGCCGTGTCGCGTAATGTACTGCAACTGACGACATGACTGAGGAATGTCTTAAAGGCAGCACTACGTTCTGCTATTAAATCAGCCGAAAAATTTCCAACAAGGACCTTATTGGGAAAATACACTGAAGACATCTTAGTTGGAAATATAGAAGTATAGCGACGTTGTATGCTTGCAGGTTGTGGATCGATAATGGAAGAGTCTTGACGCACAGGTAATTCATAGACCACATATCGTTTCACATTAAGATAGTTGGATTTCAAAGCGTAATAGAGTAGATCCGTCGTTCGTCAAATGAGGAAATAAAAAATATGTTTCCATAAGCAAAAACAATTGATATCTATGTACATGTGCATGTAGGTAACCGACCTTTTTGTGCGGCTTTTGAAGGGACATCTTGTATAGCTAGCGAAGCGGATTCTATAGTTTCCGGACTTTCGAGCTCTTCGGTATTATCGCTTATACCGACAGAGTGCACTTGTGTCCTTCTGGCCATTGCTGCGCGCACTTAGAAATTATTATACTAATTCGTTTTAATTAAAAGTAACAATCGCTAAATCACTAAATGTAAAGTTAATTAGAAATAGTTCTTTGTTTCGAAGAAATTCTCAATTAGTATAAAAGCTCACGTAAAAAATAATAACGCTTTTGCTGATCATTTATAACTTACTCGCTGTTGATATAAAAACTGGTTGTTTTTTGTTGTTTTCTTAGCTGGCTTCAGTAAAGAGTTAATGTGCCGACTGTAACAAATTAAAATTATTCATCTCACCTAAAATAAATGAATTATATATATATTTTTTTTTTATAATACAAGCATGACTAATACGTATGCCATTTCTTGAGAAGTACGGAGGTTTAGAGAGTCATATTCAATCTGGAGCACAATGTATTGCATGTATGGTTAGTATGTTACAATAAAATGTATTGCTGTTATTTAATAACTAGCAGATGGAAAGAATTTCGTTTATCGCCCTTGTTATTAAATCGCTCAAACGTTAACTCTTTATTTACCTTATCGGTTCAAACACCTTTTGTTTATTATTAAACCCTTTGTTAGTTTTTGATATTTGACTAATCACTCTGCAATACAAAATACAAGTTGTGTATGAAATGAATGAATTAGCGCCTGCACTAAGCAAGAACGTACGTTATTTGCAAGCGTTGGTGCTGCCAGCCGGGTTTTGAAGGTACTTCAATATTGAAGTATGCATTTGTAAATTAATCGAAAGCCGCAATGTTTTCAGTATAAAAACTTGTAGCATGTACACCATAAACTATTTTATATATCTAAACATAATTCTTTTCATATATTAATCCAAATAACTACAAATTGTGTAATTTCCATATACAAACATACTTCTGATTTCACGTTATCGATATACAAATTTAAAAACACAACATAATTAATTTTGTTTGGTAACCTCACTATTTACACAACAACAATTTCATTTGCAGATAAAATAGTGCACTTTTTACTTGGCATCCTATCATCATTAAATTAACGTATTAACAAAAAAAATGACGCTTCCGGAAATCTTTGGCTGTGGCTTCATCGCATTCGGTACACCATTAGCGATGTTTGTTTTCACAATAGCAAATGATTCCATACGAATAATTATCCTCATCGCTGCCGCCTTCTTTTGGCTACTAGCACTTCTGGCATCTGCCTTGCTGTGGTTTGCTCTGGTACCATTGAGAGATTACTTGTGGTTCGGTGTAACATTTTCAGTGCTATTTCAAGAAGGATTTCGCTACATTATCTATCGTATTCTGAGACGCACTGAACAAGGACTTCAAGCGGTATCTGATAATCCGGGTATAATCGAAAATAAGCATATTCTGGCTTATGTGTCCGGTCTTGGATTCGGTATAATATCTGGCATGTTTGCATTGGTCAATTTACTTGCGGATTTGGTGAGAAGACATTTAAAATTCTGGATATATGTATATATTTGCAATAATGATTGATCGATTTGGTTTATAGTCGGGTCCGGGTACTATGGGTCTTAAAGGCGGATCGGAAGTGTTCCTAATAACTTCGGCGATACAAGCTCTCGCAATGATCCTACTTCATACTTTCTGGAGTGTTATATTTTTCAATGCTTTTGATATCAATAACTACTTTCATATAGCTTACGTCATCAGCACGCATCTCTTCGTATCGCTAATAACATTACTCAACGCACAAGGGATGTACGCAGCCACATTATTG